GCGTTTCCGGAAAATTAACAACCAAATTGGGAGTCTAACGAAAGGCTCCCGCCTAATGTTTTTTGTCAGTAATATTATTTGAGGCCACGGGAACAGTTTTCAACGCTTGATAAGTGCTGGCAGTCAATAGTGTGTATGATTGACTGTGGATGTCGGCTAAGCAAAGGTTATTCAGTGCTTAAACGAAGTTCCTTTTGCGTTTTACAATCTGGTCTCCATCAGTCAGGTAACAACTAAAATTGATAGAACATGTAATTCAAAGGGAAAATAATAACATAATCAAGATGTTGAAATTCCACACCACTTCAAATAAAAGGTTAGGAAGGAAACGCCAATCAATACGGGAAACAGCGATAACAGCTACTGGACTTGTGAAATTTGTTTACCTAAAAAAAATGTTTGAAGAGAAAGATTTTATAAATTGCAACCAAAAACAGTGCAAACTGCTCTGTCAGTGAATGCCAAATGTTTCCTTATAGGGAAACGGCTGATATTACCATTACCATTTCTAGAGAAAGATCTGTTAATGGATTTGCGGAAATCTTATGAGACACTTGAATGAAGAATGCAGTCGACAGTAAAAGGATAAACTCTTTTGCTTGTTATGAAGCATGAGTCACTGGAGAATAGGAAGTCAAGTGTCGGCCATTTTGTTTGAGCAACTGACTTGGCTGGAAGCAAAAATTATGACGTTATTTATTTATTCAACCGACCTGAAGTTTTAATTACTTTAAATAAATTCTTTGTTTTTATTTCAAGGAAATAAATATAATCCGCGTGCAATATGAAGCAATATGTTTAACAATTGGGAAAACAGAGGAAGGTAATGTAAACAGAGCAAATACTAAGTAATGGAAATGTTTTTTAAAATCTAAAATAAATAATTTTGTTTTGGTCATGAGTCAAAATATCCATAGAGTAATTATAAACTGTATTTTTTTTTTTATTTAATTTGCGTTTATAATTGTGTTTAGCAACGAGAAAACCTCAACAAACAAACCAAAAAACGCATGTCCCCTGGTAGCGGCTGACGAGATATCACGTGAAAAATGTCTTCTTCTTCTTCTTCTTCTTCTTCTTCTTCTTCTTCTTCTTCTTCTAAATCAAGTCTCCACTTCATCAGAAGAGACTCGAGGCAACAGAAATGTGGTTCTGTAGAATGATGCTGAGAATACCTTTGGCTGAACATGTGAACAACGTCGAAGTTTTCTAAAAAAAAAAAATGGCATCATCAATGATAATCCATGCGTCGGAAAGTGACGGCCGAAATTTCTAGGGCACTTAGAGCATATTTCTTAGCAAGGGAGACAAGAAGAAAAACATTGCCTAACGAATTCGTGTGAACGGTTAGCAGAGCAGGAACTAGGTGAGATAGATGCAAACTTAACAGAGAGTTACAAAGGACGGTATCTATCAACTGCTCTACACAGTCAGATGTGGCACAAGGCCCAATTTAATGTGAGGTTCCCGAGCCCGTAGGCTCAGCCAAAAATTTCTCGTAGACCTCGTATAAAATGGGGTCGGGTAGGTGTTTCTCGAGACGAGATTCTGCCCTTCGACATAACCCCGTCTGGGGATGCTTTCTGCCCGGAGGCAGAGAGCTTACAAAGAGTTACAAAGGACAGGACAAGTAATTATGAAAAGCCATGATTGCCCACATCCCGAAAGGAGATGGCACATAAAAGAAGATCCTTCCTAGTCCCTGTTCTGCCAACTATCTCCACAAATTCCTTAGGTAAGTTATTTGCTGCTTTCCTCTTTATGTGCACTAGAAAAGCCCCCTTTCCTCATTATGTGCACTAGAAATTTCAATTTCCTCTCTCTGATTCTTAGTATAGCTATATAGCGATTGCTAGAATAACTTAAGTTAAATTCATTTGTCGTGGGTCTTCTTCTTGTACGCACTATATCTTTCCAGGGTGGAGATGATCAGAGCCACCCACGACTTCTTACTTTGCATCTCTTAACAAGGATTTCATTTTACTTACAATCCCACGCCCGAGTCTCACAGCCATTAACACAAACGCGTTAGACAGGTTACTCACTGCCTTCTACTGTTCCGCTTGACTTACGAGTGTCAAATTTTCCAAACCCTCTTTCCCCATTATGTGTCCCAGCAATTTTAGCTGTCTCTTTCTAGTTCTAAGTTTAAGTGACTTTATGCTTACAATGTTCCCTCCGTGTTATTCTCATCATCCTTCTGTGGAACTACATTTTTGCTACTTTTCGGCTCCTCTTCATCTTTTTTTTAAATCATTTCACCTCAGACAAAGCCAGGAGGTTACTGAGTCGAGAGAATATGAGTAAAACTACAATTAAGGAGAGTGGACAATAACAGAATAAGAATTTAAAAAATATAATGATTGACATTGCATTTAAATTTTTGAAGATCAAAATTGACTGAGAAACAAGAAGCCGGAAGAGATTTCCACAAACAATAAGTTGTTATACCAAAACATTGCCTATTCTATTGTAATAGACTCTCCCACACATAATAAGTAGTAGTAGTAGTAGTAGTAGTAGCGGTCGCCAGTTGAGCTCAGTGGAGTTGAGTGAGTCAGTCGATGTCGGACATTGAAGTATCAACCATCACAACTAGATTGCTGCGTCATTAACTCTTATTTCAAGTTCCTAACGTTTTGTACGTCGGACCCTTTTAGGACCGACTTAGCGAAATACAAGCCTCCACTGTGAAAACTACTATACAACATAAGTGCAATAGAATAAACTGTTAGCATAGAACTTACGGTTAAATCTAACCATTTCAATCATAAAATGATGATATTTTACCGCTAATCTATTACTGTGCTTAAATTCAGAAAATCTACCTACCGTAGAGGAAAGTTCATCAGAACAATTACTATGAACGTATTTATAAAAAAAAAAAAAGACACAAGGAAGCTGCATTACTGTAGTGGAAAAGTGAGTGAACCTAAGATGCCAGGTTAGGACCAATAACATTTTAGATTCTTCTGTGAGGACATTTTCAAGCATTTCTAGTAGTTCAGTAGTCTTTTCTTTTTCTTTTTTTTTCCTTACGAAATTTTCCAGTTTTCTTATACATTACTTAGTTTTTGAAAGGCATATATCGCTATTCCAACATACCTTCTGCTTTAGGTATTACATTTTTCATACTCTGTTAAAACAGTTTCTCGATATTTAAACTTCTTTGATTTTGACATCTCCAAATTCGTTGTTCGCATCTTGAACTGCTTCTCTTGCTGACAACTGTACATTATGTCTTCTTGCAATTAATAGTTAGTCCTTTCTTCTCTCTTTCTTTTACTACCACCAATTCATAGTTTGCATCTTGAAGTGTTTCTCTTGCTGACGACTATACATTCTGTCCTCTTACAATTGATGATTAGTCCAAAGAGCTCGAAACCTGAAGTTTCTTTCTTTCTTTCTTTCTTTCTTTTTATTTTTACAGTAAGTTTCAGCCTGTACAAAACCCGGGGCCACTGTTGGTAGAAGTTTACATTAAGAGGCAGTTTATACGGATAGCAGGGGAAGATAACTGTTGACTCTAGTCTTGAGCGGGTTCACATTGTAGTGATCGGGGAAACATTCTCTTGGGAGTCGGTTCCACAGAGCAGTGGTTCGTGGGTAGAAACTGTTCAAGTAGAACTTTTCTCACCGATGGAATACGCAGAGAATGTGTTTGGTTTGCTACAACGTAAGTGGCATGGTGGGTCTTAGCCCTGTAGGTTAGAACTGCCGTAACCAACTGGATTAGACAAATTTTCTTTTTTTTATTTTCCCATTTTCTATTTTGTTTTATTTTTGTTTTGTTTTATTTTTCTTCTTCTTTCTTTCTTTTTTGCCACAGCATTTCGGTCGCTGTAAAATTGTCGTAGTAAAATAGCAAATACAAGGTAATTAATCCAAATAAACTTAAATACAATGTTTATTTTAATAATCCTAAAATCTCTTCGTTATTACAATGACGGCTATTCAGTTTGAATTTTCTTCAAGCGTCATGACAAATGTCTGCACGTCTGGCGAACAACCCCCTCCGTTTTTTTTACGTATATTTTTAATTCGTTTTATTCTATTTAATTTATTTTGCTAGTCAGGGTTGTTGGCGGTGTTGATGCTATTAAAATCCACCAAATATTTCGAACAAAACTATTCACACGTCAAAACAATAAAAGTCTATTCACTATGCCGTGATAGAGAATTTTTTCTCGCCAGAATCTATCTTATACATTTATAAGTCTACCATTCGTCCATGCATTGAATATTGCTGTGGCTTGGTGCTTCTGTGATCTAACTGGATAACTGATAAAATCCAAAGAATCTGTCTTGTCACTGAACCTGACCTGTCATCTCGGCTTCAGTCACTTCCCCACCGCCGTAACGTAGCTTCCCTGTGCCTTTGCTATAAATACTTTCATCGTAATTGTTCTTATGTACTTTCATCTTTGGTACTTAGACTTTACGAATTTAGACGTACTACTGGGTTAGCGACAAGGTCTCATCATCTTACTGTTAAAATAGCTTGATGTAACCATAAGTTACATGCTAACTGTTTCTTCTGTCACATTTTCCGCTTGTGGAACTCTCTTCTGGTTTCTGGCTTTCCTGTGAACTTTAATCTTAATAAAAATTAAATGCCATATCAGTCATTATCGTCTGTCTTCTTAATTGTTGTTCTTTTATTGTTCTCTTTTCTTAATAGTTTTTTTCCTTATATTCTCTTACACTAAGTAACCCCTTATGTCTTAGTGACTTTATTCCCTTGCTTGGAGTGAAATGATTATGATGACTTCAAATACATCGCTGTAAGGATCGGTTTTAATAAATTTAGTATAGGAGATAAGGAAATTGGACACACGATAGTTTCTCTTCTTAGCACTTTTGTCTAACATCCTAAGATGCTACAAAACAATAATTTTAACTTCGAACTCGAATCATTTCCTAAATAGCTTCGTTGGGGTTTGATTCTCGTATCCAATATGTTTAGGAATGTTTGAACGAATATGACCCATGGAAAAGCG